GCTAGTTGGGATAATCAACAGTTATCAAATCATGTAAATATTAAAAAAAATACCAGATAATCACGCTTGATGACGATCTGGGCACGTCCATCCGAAACCATGGATAAAATTCATCTTCAATCCATCCGTTAGCATTCATGTTTAGAGTATCTATTTTGTTTAAAGAGTTGGAAATGTTGTTCTTGTGTTTAAGAGATATATAAAGATTCAAAACTTTCTATTTCCCTCCAATCATATTTTTACTTTTCCCTTTGTTTCCCTCCGAAAATTATATTTGACATTTTAGTCCAAAAATGTCATCTTGTTTTCCCTCTTAATAAAGAAGTTAGAATATATTTTAGTTCTAAAATTTAATCATGATTTTCCTTTTATTATAATTAAGATTTTTGATGAAGATTATTATAATTAAGATTAACCAATAAAAATATATCGAATTATATATTTACTATTATATAAATAAGGTCATACTAGTGAATGAACTTATATGGTTGCCATAGGCCGATAAGTATGAAATTAATTTAAACGGCTATTATATAAACGGTCGATATTACTAAAAATCACAACGATATAATTAGCATAGGTTATATGACTACAACCATATTAGTGCATGGACTTATATGGTTGCTATAGGCGATATGTATGAAATTAATATAAACGGCTATTATACAAACGGTCGATATTACTAAGAATCACAACGATATAGTTACCATAGGTTATATGACTCCAACCATATTAGTCAATGGACTTATATGGTTGCTATAGGCCGATATGTATAAAATTAATATAAACGGTCGATATTACTAAGAATCACAACGATATAATTAGCATAGGTTATATGACTACAACCATATTAGTGAATGGACTTATATGGTTGCTATAAACCGATATGTATGAAATTAATATAAACGACTATTATATAAACTGTCGATATTACTAAGAATCACAACGATATAATTAGCATAGATTATATGACAACAACCATATTAGTGAATGGACTTATATGGTTGATATAGGCCGATATGTATGAAATTAATATAAACGACTATTATATAAAGGGTCGATATTACTAAGAATCACAACGATATAATTATCATTGGTTATATGACTTCAACCATATTAGTAAATGGACTTATATGGTTGCTATAGGCCGATACGTATGACCATAATGAAGTAAATTATATAAACGACTATTATATAAACGGTCGATATTACTAAGAATCACAACGATATAATTAGCATAGGTTATATGACTACAACTATATTAGTCAATGGACTTATATGGTTGCTATAGGCCAATATGTATGAAATTAATATAAACGGCAATTATATAAACGGTCGATATTACTAAGAATCACAACGATATA